TCACGGGTTCTAACGGAATATTTTTGGCCGAGCCTACGGGCTCGGAGAACCCACGGTAAACTCGACCTTCTGTCGCATAAATCCCTCGTGGGAGGGGACTGTTAAATATTAACAGTCGAACAGATTGTTCATCTGTCCAACTCTCTGCCTCGAGCAGACAGGAACCCGGACGAGGCTTTGCCGAAGGGCAAATTTTCGTCCGTGAGGGTAGACAGGCCCTGAACCCGTTTATGCGGCTTCTAAGGGAATATTTTTGGCCGATCCTACGGGCTTGGAGAACCCATGGTAAACTCGGCTTTGTTCCACATACATCCCTCGTGGGTGGGCTGTTAAATATTAACAGTCGAATAAATCTGTTCCACCTGTTCCCAGAGGCAGAGTGGATCCCAAGACGAAGCTGTGTCGAGGGCGGAGTCTCCTCTCGGGAAACACCTGCCCGACCCCGTTATATACGGGATCTATGGGGAATTTGTGGCCGAGCCTACGAGCTCTGATTGCCTACATTAAACTCGGCCTTGGCCATATCCTACCTCGTGGGGAGGCTTGTAAATATAACAGTAGATTAGATTGAACGCTGGGTCAACCGACACACACTCACTAGTCATGTAATATTCTTCTGTTGTACTTACTGTTTAATATATGATATATCTTTAACACTGGTTTTGTTATTTCTCTAACCATTTACCGGTCACAACAGCAAAGGGAATATCTGCGAATATTTTTGGAAAAACTAAGTGTTAAAAAAAGATCTGAAAATAGAAAAAATATGGGAATTAGAAAATAAAACGGTCCCTGTTGTGGTTGGAGTTTTGGGGTCTGACCAAAAAAATCAACAAAATCCCTGCTGCACTATAGTTACAGGAAATAAAAAAAATCTTCGAGCAAGCACAACCAATATCCTGAGAAATGACCTTTGACCTTAATAGCTGCATTTTCTTTAATTATGTGGAAACAACAAAAAATCACATTCTTCACTTGACCTAAGACAGTACTTATGAGCCGGCACTTGATTATATAACGAATGCAGATCAAAAAAAAATAATAATATTAATGACCACTGACAAAATGCAATCAGAAAGGAAGCGGCTCATTTTAACGAATTATACCATGTGATAAAAACCTGAGTGATGTGAGTTAAAATCGACACATAGTACAATATCTACCCGATTATCCGGACGCCTACATTTGAATGATTCAAAATTTCGGATAACTGAATAGCTAAAAAGAAATGTGGTTCTACAGAAAGAAGCTGAGAAAACCATGGTGTCAAAGACACACTTCTATAGACAATGTCAACAAAAAGGACACTTATGCTTAACACCTGGAAGAGGTAGCTGAAATTTCTGGATCACATGAGGAAAGAGGGCTTGGTGAATTTGATATTTACATGACAGATTGAACGTAAGAGGGTCAAGAGGAAAGCAATGCATAACCTACCTGGAGAGCTTGAGTGAATGAATGGCGAAGCAGGGTTTGGGAGATATGATAAAAAGATAAAAGTTATTCAGAGCTAAAAAAAGGAAATTGTGGAAAGATATCATCGCTAATATCTGAATGAACACAGCACATAGAATAATAATAATAATAATAATAATAAGAAGAAGAAGAAGAAGAAGACGAAGAAAAAGAAGAAGGAAAATACCTAAATTATTGAAAAAGAATAAAAAAAATGTTATTTTCTGAATGAAATTTAATATCTATATCAGCAAATCATATTTTCGAACGCTTTGTTCAATGTTTCGTCTAGTTTAAAACATGCGTCATTATTTTTCCTGTAGGTGTTTGGTGCCGCGTTGTTCTGTCGCTAACACACAAAGGTGGATTAAACCAGACGTATTCGTCACGAGAGTTTCAGGTCGAAAGCGCAATCTACTTAGAATTTTGTAAAACCTAATCATTGATTCTTTGTTTGAAATTGAAATTTCAAACTTCGATTTTCTAAATTCGTAAACAGCTTGTCTGAGATGAAATGTAAGAATTGGAATGATTTCACTTCGATTTTCTCTTCATTAGTCGCAGTTCGAAAAATAGAGGTAAGGATTTTCAAGCAGATACTGAGTATGAGGCTGACGGACTGCCGCCTTAACACAGACATAGAAAGAAAGAAAGAAAGAAAGAAAGAAAGAAAGAAAGAAAGAAAAGAAAAGAAAGAAAAAAGAAAATAAATAAAGAAAAAAGCAAGAAAGAAAGAAAAAATAAAGCAAGAAAGAAAGAAAATAAAGAAAGAAAGAAAGAAAGAAAATAAATAAAGAAAGAAAGAAAGAAAATAAATAAAGAAAGAAAGAAAGAAAAGAAAGAAAGAAAATAAATAAAGAAAATAAAGAAAGAAAGAAAATAAAGAAAATAAAGAAAGAAAGAAAGAAAATAAGGAAAGAAAGAAAGAAAGAAAGAGAGAAAGGAATGAAAGAAAGAAAGAAAGGAAAGAAAGAAAGAATTTAGAACGGCGGACAAACAATGTGGAATATTGAAAAGAAAGAAAGAAACAGATTTTTGAAGGCATATAAAAAAACATGAAAAATTGAAAAAATTAAAGAAAAATGGACAAGAAGGAAGGAAAGAAAGAAAAAAGAAAGAGAGAAGTAAATGTCTAAAAGAAAGAAAGAAATTGATAAGATGGATATACAATATGGATAAGAAAGAAAGAAAGAAAGAAAACAAACAAACAAAGTAAGTTTTGTTGTTATTGCTTAGATACATAGCAACCCCGATGGGTTATTTAATGACAAAATGTAAATATTTTTACGCAATTTTGTTTTATTTTTGCAGATAATAATATTTTGATGTTACAAATCTTACTAATTAACCCATAGAGGAGAAGAGATTAATTCATACCTTTCCCAAGAGAACTTTCACGTAAGTAAAAATAACGAAACCAACTGAAATTGGAACTTCACTTTCCGATTAGCAATTCCGAGCTATTATCAATTATACCACAGATTGTTACAAACTGTTACTAATTAACCCATAGGGTGGGGGGGAGATGTGGATTCATACATTTTCTCAAGGATATTTCTGCGCAAGTGAATATAACTAACTAATTGGAATTATTTTTAAATCATCTTTTCAATTAAAATTCTGATGTATTTTCCATTACACCAACCACAGTCTGTCTATATTTCTGAGATGAGGTATTATGTACAGTATTTACATTAGTCGGCATATTTGTCACAACATTTCGGCCGTTGTACGCTCCGGCCTTCTTCAGGTGGTTAGAATTTTTAGTTCCACTTTTTTTTGATATTGCATGTTTTTTTTGATATTGCATGTTTTTTTTCCTGCTAATTTTCCCTCTGAAAGTTCTCCACTGCCTTAACCAGGTATTGAACTCACCTTCTTTGGGTCTGTCACTGGATCTAACCAACGCCTTTATCCTCTGTGCCATGTGTCCTTGAGGTATAAACTTCTGAGTATTATAAACCTAATGTTTTCAGCATCATTTTTACCATATTGCATTTTGTTGTTATCATTACATGTCTTTACCAGAGTTCATATTGCAACTTTGTTACCATTGCTTATCTCTGGCACTCCTTATTAATAAGGAGTGCCAGAGAAAAGCAATGAGAACACCAACCACATAGCAAAGCTTACAGCACCTGGTATTCCCAAGCGGTCAACCTTCTGGTTACTGGCAAGTCTCGACGTTGCTTAACTGCAGTTTTCGTACGGGAAGTAGTGTTTCAACTTGATGTAAGCCAGAAAGAAATGAAGAAATAATGAAGAAAATATAAAAGTCTCTAATAGTCGCCAAAGTGACACCGAATTCCTACAAAAAAGTACAGATATTTTTTTTTTATTTTTTTAAAGTTTGCTAAATCTGATTGTACGCTACCTTTAACATCCCCGGCTACATCAGCCGGGCTCGAACCCACAATGTCATTGAAGTAAACTAAAATACGACATGACAGGAAACTTGATAAAGATTAACTTGGAAGACGCCAGTCGTCAGATGGAAGTAATCTTCCTAGATATATATACAAGATGACGCGGGTTAACCCGACATGTATATCGATCTGTCATGCGCATGCGCACACGACTAATTTATGCATTACATGTCACTTCCAGCTTCAAGATAGAAACGGAGGGACGTGAATTCCTATTCGTTTTTTTTTTATCTTGTTGAATACATCTTTCCTGTTTTTAGTGCTAGATCGAATATGCGAGTAGTTACGTCGGCACTAGACAAATGATTAGAAGCAAAATCGGAAGAATATAGCGCAGTGTAAGAACAATAACTTTCAAGAATCGAGAATGGCATCGAAGAGTAAGAGTAATAAGATGACGAAAAGAAAAGGCAGGAATTTGTGATATATATATATATATATATATATATATATATATATATATATATATATATATATATTGAACAAAAAAAAAAAAAATAAAATCTTCAGACACACTGTCTTGTAGATTAATATTCTTTCGTTTTTATTATTATTATTTCATTTAGATTCCTCGACTAGTTTCGGCCAAAATGGCCATCATCAGGAGAAAAATATTTCTGCTTATTGGTAGTAGTGAACTACAGAAAAGAATGTATATATATATATATATATATATATATATATATATATATTGAACAATAAAAAATATTAAAAATTAAAATCTTCAGACACACTGGGTTGTAGATTAATATTCTTTCGCTTTTATTATTATTATTTCATTTAGATTCCTCGACTAGTTTCGGCCAGAAATGAATATATATATATATATATATATATATATATATATATATATATGTGTGTGTGTGTGTGTGTGTGTATGTGCGTGCAAATATATCTATAAAATAGGAAAGAACCGTTAGCTTGATGATCCGAAGTTCTTTAGTATTTTTGTTTTTATTTTTAAAAAAAAAGTGCTCGATACACAAGTAGAGCCAAGATTATAATTATTAAAAAAAAAAAAAATTATAATATATAATATATATATATATATATATATATATATATATATATAGTAATAATCTTGGGTGCCTTGATATGTAAATAAACAGACCAATATCCAAGGGAAAAAAATGTACAAAAAAGAAAGAACCAAGAATATGTACGTCAGCCGAAGAGAATCGTCTAGTATCCAAGTTCAGAGTCCAATGAAAAAAAAAAAAAAAAACGATACGAGTAAGTAAAATAACTAAGTAAAGTGCTCAATACGCTAAGTAGAGCAAACCTAATTAAACCTAAAGAACCAGAGAAACTAACCAAGGTTTCACCTACGCGGATCATCATGGAATATTCACTGACGATCCTTGGTAGGTTTGTCTGGCTCTTTAGGCTTAATCATATATATATATATATATATATGATCGAAATAAAAGTATAAAATTTAATATTACAAGACATATTAAAACAATATTAAATAATAAAAAAAAACACAACAAAAAGTGGAGGGGGGAAGCAACCGGTTTCACTCCCGCTCTTCAGGCTTCCACGGGAGATTCAAAATTAAAACAGGGAAATGTACAATACGAATAGGTGGAAAAAAAATTTATTATTTAATATTGTTTTAATATGTCTTGTAATATTAAATTTTATACTTTTATTTCGATCATTAAATTTTGTACCTACAAAAATATATATATTTATATATATATATATATATATATATATATATATATATGTGTGTGTGTGTGTGTGTGTGTGTCTGTGTGTGTCTGTGTCTGTGTGTGTAGACGGCATATCTTCATTCAATCATATTTCATTTAAAAATAATATAGACATAATATGCCTATTTTTATACTTGTCCTTTCCGGTCCTTCTAATCAGTTTCTTGGTGTTAAGATGAAATTTATCAAGGAAGGGGCCGTAGTTTTTTTCTTACCTATGTACTTTCGCTTCTACAAGATCATACTCATGGGTGAATTGCAAAGAAAAACTTACTGTAACTGAGAGCGTAAAAATTACCATCACAACGAAATGCAGATTCTATCAAAGTTACAATACGTTTGTCTTTGTAATTCACCCCTGGGAAATTGTATGAATCTAATCCATAAACATTTCAATCATTCCGCAACGCTAAAAAAGATTTTCAATAAAAACAACATCAAACTTAGCTACAGTTGTGCTAAAATCATTGACAAATAGATATCACAATAACGTTTCACTAAATAAACACTTAACCAAATTTCCAAACAAAAAAGAAAAAAAAAACATACGCAAAATTAAGGACAGAACCTGCTGAAAAAACAAAATCTGTCAATTAAACGGCAAATGCATGAACAAAGTTTTAAAACTAACATCAAATACAATGGCGAGGTCAAATTTTATTTGGGTTCTACTGAAAACCATTTGAAATAACGCTTCTACCATCACCAAATGACACAATTTTGTTACTATTAAATATCGTAACATCACTGCCCTCTCTAAACTTTTCTGGAAAATAAACCTATGTGTGTGTGTGTAGACGGCATATCTTCATTCAATCATATTTCATTCAAAAATAATATAGACATAATATGCCTATTTTTATACTTATCCTTTCCGGTCCTTCTAATCAGTTTCTTGGTGTTAAGATGAAATTTATCAAGGAAAATGATATTTATTATTATTTCATTTACGTTCCTCAACTAGTTTCGACCAATATGGCCATCATCAGGAGAAAAAAAAATTCTGCTTGCTGGTATATATTTTAAAATGGGAGTTCCTTCTCAGTCACGCTGTATATATATATTCAGTTAAATGAGACATCCTTGGTAATAACTGGTAGATAAGCCGAAAACGCAACACGTACAGAACATTTGGACAGTTTTTACATTTGAATAAAAAGCCTAATCACATTGCCTTGGCGACCGTTTTCAGTGAAACGGACACACACACACGTGCGCGCGCACACACACATATACATATATATAAATATATATATATATATATATATATATATATATATATATATATATATATATGTGTGTGTGTGTGTGTGTGTGTGTGTGTGTGTTTTAAACAATAAAATATTAAAAATTAAAATCTACAGACACACTTCGTTTTTATTATTATTTCATTTACGTTCCTCAACTAGTTTCGGCCAATATGGCCATCATCAGGAGAAAAAAAAATTCTGCTTGCTGGTAGCAGAGAACTACAGAAAATAAATGTCTTGATGGAGAAAATGAAATTTTATCTGTAGTTTTCATTTGTTTTTTTTTTCTTTTTGGGGTTTTTTTTTAACATGAATTTTGGCCAGACATTGTGTTCATCAAAGTCTGTTTTAAGTTATTAAGATAAGAGCTGGATGTATTCATGCTGCTCTGAATTCCCTTAGTCATTTTGACACAGTTCCTGTAAAGGGGATGTGTCTGTGTTAAGTGTGTTAGCGAGTGAGTGAGTATGATGTGTGTAAGTGTGTATATTAGTATGGGTGTGTGTTATCATTTGGCTCACTAGGAAGTGAGTGAGTATGATGTGTGTAAGTGTATGTATATATATACACACACACACACACATATATATATATATATATATATATATATATATATATATTCATTCACATAAAAACAAATAAAGGTTAATG